AGTAGATGTCTTGATGGGAGACGCTTTCTGATGGCAGCAGGCTGTGAATCGAGCTGAAGGACTGACATCCCTCAAACGAGAGGTCCCGCCTGGGATTGCTTCCAGGAAGGAGTCAGGGGCAAGGCTCTGCAAAGCATGTATAATATATGCCCATAACTCCATGAAAAAAACAAGGCTGTGTTCCTTAGAGCAGACTGACTTCCTACAACGCTGATCTTTCAGCAACGGTCTGGGTGTCTGAAGAGGCTGGTATGCAGACCACTGAAAGGGGCCACTCAGGATAATGCTGTCAGCCAAATATGCAGTGGCATTCAAGCAGTGCAGGACTATTTGAAGCCAATGGCCCAGCCTGGGCCACACTTTCTATTTGTTTTTACACGTTGTGAGCTAAGTTTGGGTATGGTATGCTCAAACGCACAAGCAAGCCTCTGTCTGCCTCTACAAGGACAGGGGGGGATTGCAAAGGGAAAGTACACTTTTCAAGCAAAGTCAGGTTCAAATTATGAACCAGCTTTTCATATTAGCAGGAAATACTTGATCCTCCTGCACCTTCTTTCGGCTGGGTCCACAACATGGCTTTGAGGGGAGGCAACCCTCAAAGAAAATATATTTCATGTGGAGAAAGTAAAGCAAAGGCTGTATTTGCAACTGATTTGTAAATGAAAGATGCTTAAACAGATCAATTTTTAAAACCAAATATTAATTTTAACCCTATTTCCCCAAAGATGCTCCGGACATTATTGTGGTTTGGTGGAGCTCTAGCTGCCCCAGGGGTGCTGATAGATGCAGGGCTTGATGCTTCCGCTGCCTTCAGTCCTCGTCTATGTCTTTGTGCTTTCCCTGATTGTGAAGAGATTTCAATTTCACCTTGTACTACGGATCCACCGGTGAATCTTTGCAGCTGGATTATGTTTTTAATAGTAGTTAGAGGCTATGCTGAAAAATGTGCTAAAACAACCTCATTTTTAGCCTGAAAAGCACACACCATAATGGTGACAACCAACAGTGATGTCAGAATTTTACCAGTTATTAGTCACAAGTGATTTGGTTCAAAAGCAACGTGTTTTGGTTCAAAACTGAGCCCAAAGTGGTAGGATTTGGTCTAAACCTAATCTGATGTCCATTAAAACTTAGAGCAACTCTTCATCATTTATCTCCCATTCCTTCCTCTCTCCCCCTGATAGTTTCATGGGGGCTAGGAAGGAGGAGGTCTGAAATACCTGAGTAAAGTCTGTATTCATAATACTGCTGGGAATACAAAAAAAACCGCCTGCCTGTAAGTGTGTATTCATAACATTACTCCACTGTGTCTGGAGGGGAAAAAAAACCCCAAACACTCCTGTCAGAGATAATATTCAAGCAAGCCTGCCTCTCCCTGTCTCCAGAGCTGCAGTTTCTGCCCCACAAGAGTTGCTTTGCTCTTCCAGGTGATGTTGATTAGGGAGGCAGAGGTGGTGCTGTCTACAGAGCTCATTTTGGCAGTATAAACTGTATCTCTAGTAGCGGGGCTTTCTTGCTGTAACCTTATGGACGAACCTTAAATGGCACTATAGGTGTCCGCTGCCTCAGCGTTGAACATTTCTGGAGCCCTGGAGGGACGGTGGCCATCTGGTGCTGTGCTCTGTGCAGGCTGTCGCTGTGGACCCACACATGGGGCAGAGCTATGTCTCTTGGGGGAAGACAATTTTTAGGCTTGGGGACTAATATTAGGCATTTGCACTCGCTCAGCTCGAGTCGTGACCACAGGAAGGCAAAGATTTCACAGAGCTATGAATATCGCAGAGGCTGTGGTCAGGGCTCCACAGCAGAGGCAGATGGCAGGGCGCCGTCCTGCTCTGCTCTCCTCATAACCCAAGACAGGTAAGGGGGAAAGTGGCAGAAATGTCTCCTGTCCTAGGTAATGGGGAGGTCAGTGCACAGTTCAGACTAGACAGCAAGGTTCTGACCCCTGGGCAAGCCCTAGTCTCACCTAAAATTGGGGAAATTAAAACAACAGGCAAGACCGACGGTGCACTGAGTTTCTCAAAGTTAATAAACACCCATCAGGAGTGCTGAGCTCACAAAGTGTTTCCAGGAGATGTGGCTGTTCTCCTGTTTTGTTTAAAAAAACACAAAAACCCAAATACCAAAACACAACCCTACAGCAATGGCACTTGAAGCAAAGGAAGATGAACCCACTCTGTTGGTTAAAGAGCTTTGAAAATATTTCCTGTCATACACTAAAGAAAGAGTGATAGAAAGATACGGCTTTAAAACAAATAGGTCGCATTTTGGACGCTTCAGCCCAAACCCTTCAGCACTGTGATAATGCTTGACAAAATCTTTACCTCTGTAAATGAACAAAAACTGTCTTGAAGGAGCATTTCCCAGCTGCTGCCATGGATTTGCCTTTGCATGTGAAGGCAGGAAGCTGCAGGAGGTCTCTTGTAACAGGAGACCCATAACTATACTGTGTAGAAGTTACTTTATTTCCCCATCCTATAAAAGAGGTGGAATCAGTAAAAACTCATATGGGGGAGGAGTGAGAGCAAACATACTTAAAATTTACTCAGCATAAAAAATGCATCCTTGAAATCTGGAGCTGTTCAGAAGCCAGGCAGGTTTTAAGTGGATTGCAGAAGTATAACTTCCTGTGATGCCATCTTTTGCCAATGCTGTAATTTCAGTGTCTATAAATTTCATGTTTTCGTTGCAATGAAGTCTCTCCTTGTAAACTGAGCAGGCTGTGAATCCACAGGCACCAGTTACCTTCCCAGCTCTCTTCCGGCCAGCGGTGTGGCCATGAACTGGGGCATTTCTGAACGCTTTTCCCAGTTTCCTATCTGTAGGAAAGGGATAATGATGTCTGCCCGCCTCTGCGGAGCCCACTGAGGCCCCTGGATGAAGAGCTGTGTAGAAGGAAAGCAGATCTCTCTAGTCTTGGTGAGCATTAATTACTATTACAGTGTGGGCCCAGCTGGGTTTGCAAGGAAATTTTCAACTGGAGTTGAAGCCATGGACTTGGAGCAAAATAAACTGGAGCAAAATAAACCACACCAAACTGACCATACAGCCCTGGGCTGGAGTAACCCAGAGCTAACTTAAACCTGACGCAAATTCTACTCTCCCAGGATGCCCAGCCTTTTAATGTCTTTTTTTTTTTTGCATTTGAGCATTTCTCTCAAACTGGTGGATGGTGGAGAGCACAAGTTATCCACGGCAGTGTGAGCTCTGACTCAGAGCTGGTCCCCACGTGTACCCCAAAGCTGCTTTCAGCCTCCTGCCAACCACAGGGCAGGACCTGTACTGCTGTCATCAGGTGTTTGAAGAATAGGAGTCCATCTTCTTCCCCAGGTTGTTATGAGATTGGCGAAAATGCAGTGTAATCACCAAACAGTGCAAAAAATAGAATCCTTTCCCTTTTCTTCTTCCACTCAGCTGTGCTTAGCTCTTATTTGTAAACAGTTTCCCACAAATGCAAGACTGAAAAACACAGAGGCATCCTTAAAGGGGGTAAAAAAAAAAAAGAGAGAGAGAGAGAGAGAACCATGTGACTTCAAAACCCAGGACTTAAGTAACAAACTGTCAGATTTGGTGAGATTCCAAAGAAAACCATGGGAATATGCAACGGGACCCAACTGCACTGACCCTTCCCTGCCCTGAAATGTCTTCATGCTGCAGAGATCCCTGGCTCTGGAGGGGGACCCTGGACATAAAGGCATGGCCAATATTTTATAGACCATGTGGCTTAAGTTATAAATTGACCCTGTCTCAGACACAGTGTCTCCAGGGACATTCAGCTACTTACATTTCATAACATCGCTCCCCCAAACTCCTGACTTTCTCTAAAAACACATCACTGTGGAACTTCAATGGCATTTGGGAACATCCACTCAGCCAGACTGAAGATTCCCAGCACACCTCCCATAACATAGCTGGATGTGTAGTACTTGGTACGGATTTGGAGGGCTACAGAACAGCTATTCCTAGCATTGAGGTGGAATTTGTGCATTTAGTTTCATAAGAACAATCAAGGAAACCCTCTGCCTAAGCACTGTAGGGCCCTGATGCTATGCTGGCTAGGAACACTCCTGGAAGCACGAAACAATAAACTCAGTGAGTACATTCGGGATGTTGAAACCAGGCATGCTGGCACGCAGGTCCCCTGAGAGCCTGGTTGAGTGTACCCAACTCTCTCATCACATTTACCTGCATTTACCTGCTGGAGAGCTGCCACCCTGCTGTGGCATACCAGACCTTTCCCAGGAAGCCAGAAACTCAGCTCAATCTGCTCCACAGAAGGTCTAAAGGATGGCTTTTCTGTCCAATAGAGTGGGGAAAGGGGAAAAGAGAAGAAGAAAAAAAATCATTTTGATGAGAATGGTAATAAATACATAGCAAAGAGCACATTTCAGTAAGTTCAAGCAGGAGCAGACAGTCTGACATCCTGCATGGTGGCTAAGTCACTGGGCTTAGGTCTCTTTGTTGCTCTTCTTTTCCAGGAGTTGACTAACATAAATCACATCAGCTGTGCCAGGAACCAGGAGTAAATCTGCAGATACCTCAGCCAACAACCCTGACCCTTGGAGTCCCACCAACCTTCTGGTCCCAGAGGCCAGGGCTGCTCAAGCATTAGCTCCCAGGAGCACTTCCAAGGAATGGTGACTTTGCTGGCAAGGAACAAGCCACTTCAAATGAAGGAATTTGGATGCCTCACTGCAAAAACAGCAGGTCAAGTTTAAGGTGAAATTCTTGGCCCCCTGCTTTTGTTTCTGATGAATTTTGTAGGACAAAGCTGCAGCCTGCTTCGGAGCCTTCCTCTCCCCATACAACTCACCCACTGGACACCACCTGCCCAAAGCAGCATTTGTATTTATACTTGCCATCTGGGATGTGCAAGCAGTTAAAGATCTGTTAGAAAAGCAACACAATTTTGCTTTCTTTATTATTGAGAAATCAAAGACCTCATGTGACTTTGTAGATGACTTAACACATTTATAGACCAGGAAGGAAGTTGAGCTGCACTGCTTGCTTCGCTTTTCTGTGGGGCGGTTGCTGCAAATTCAACCTCGTTAACTCACAACTGTGCAGATGGATCAGAAAATGACTGCCCAAATGACCACTGAGCCCCCCAAATGTTGCTGCTTCAACATCAAGACAGCAACAGTCGCTCTGGGGATCTTCCACATGGTAAGTTACGGGACTGAAAGGGGGGACAGGGAGAGGGAGACAAGGAAAGAGAGGCAGAGGTGTAATCTTTGCAGAAGGTGTAATCATTGCACATCACAAGGGTTCCTGACTGTTGACTTTTCTGTGTTCCCAAAAGAGAAAAACTCATTATTTAAGAGGGATAGACAAAAGAGGAGAAGGTGGCGGGGGGTGGAGGGTGGCGGGCAGGAAGAGATTTATTGTATTGGGACCTTTTTTTAACTATTTTTTTCCCTGGCTTTACCAGTTGGAGCTCATGGAAACTCAGTCTGCTTCCTGGTTTTCCCTTGCAGCTTAATGCAGGAGTTCTTACCGTGCAGGGGTGTGTAGCTTGGCCAGGGCTCAGCGCGGCTACTGGACCTGTTGGTTAGAGACTGGGCAGCACAGTGGCAACGGAAACCGTGGGAGTGCTGGAGTTATGGGTCACTGGAGGGAGGACGGATTTAGGTCCCAGGCAAGCGAGGGGCGGGTGGGCAAAGCTGCCGCCTTTCTCTCTCTACGGACAGTTGGACATTATATGCACCGTTTTGGTTTCCGTTTTGATTTGTGGCTGTGTTCAGCTGCCAGGCAGCTGGCATAACTTCCCCGGGGGTGGTTGCAGATGGCAGCGAGCAGAGGCAGCAGAGCCTGGAGGGACATTTCTTCCTCGCTGCCTGGTTGCACGGAGATGCTTTCAGGTGGCTTTAAGTCATACTGAGGATGTGGTTTCTCGCATGGCAGAGGCACTTCAAATAATCCCATCTGTTGCACTTGGTGTGCACAGTCATGGGTTGGGAGCCTGCAAGGGTGGTGACGGTTAACGGGGGCTTTTAACCTGCTCCTTACACAGGAGAAGTGGAGTGAGGGGAGCCGTAGCCTGCAAATACGTGCTGGGCACAGCAGCTGTGGCAGCCATGCCACACATGGGAAGGACATGCCATGGCCCCTCCAGCACCAGCCTGCTTTCCTGGAGCAGCAGGAGCAATCCAAACTGCCCGAGCAAATCCTCAGGGCGCCATAGCCCCCTCCTCACTCACACAAAATCAAGCCAGGGGTCCGACGTGCTGGTTTAGTGGTTTTGACTTCCATGAGCCATTCTGGCATACACTGGTGGAGGATTCGACTCATGAAATGAAAGGAAAAAAAATCTGGAGATCAGTTTAGCTTCTTTTCTGGATAGGAAGATAAAGGGGAAGTATTCAGAGAATGATAGGATTTTATAAACTCGCCAGGAGCAGCAGCACTGTGGGCTGCTGGAGGCAGGAGTGGGTGGGGTGGCTGTGCTTGGGCACAGCGCAGCATCTCTGCACCTCCCTGGTTTGGGGCAGGAGATGGTCCCGTGCCAGCCCAGAACAGGAGAGCGGAGAACCTTGGGTCTACACTGTATCTGCAGAGAAACTTGGGTCTACGCTGCATCTTCATGCAATGTCACTGCCAGCGTCTTTCCCCTGGCATTGCTTGAAAGCCAGGTGCCATAGTGGCATTTCCATGCCATCTTTTAACCATTTGGGGATCCCAAAAACATTATGAGATTGGTTAAAAGAATCATTCAGTTTTATAACCTCTTTTGCCTTCTGCTTTTTGAGTATCTAGATTACACCCTGGGCAGGCTACTTGTCTTTTTGCCACAAGCTCAAAGCTTTTAATTCCACTGCTTTAAAGAAAAAGAAATTGCTGCATTTCTTGTGCATTCTCATGACCCCAAGACACAAAAATTGAAACGTATGAAAGCTGAGAGTTTGCAGCAGAGCACAAGCAATTTCTGGCAACCAATTAAACATATAGCCATCACAGAGGGATGGTCATGAACTGTTCAGAAACGGGACCTTCGTAGGAAGCATAGCCAAGATCTGAAGAGGAGCTGGCAAAATTAAAGGTCTGTGCAAAGGTGGGAAACGCAAGACAGGGAACTGCAACACATTTTCTCCAGAGGGCTACAAGCACGTTGTGCGATGTGAGCTATCTGTTATCAGTGGTGAAACAGAGGTACAGAAGATGAATTATTTTTTCCTAGCTGGGAGGGTGAATTATAAAAAAAGCCTTCTTTGTCTTTCTCAGAAGTCAGCAAACGCTTTGAACTGAGGCGCATTTTTCTCATAACTGTTTCACCACGATGCCACTAACAACAATAGAGATTCCTGATTTGCACCAGTGCGTGATGGAAGAGAATGCGACACCACCTCTCGGTGCTGGTGGCTAACAGGGAACACTCAGTTACCATTGACATCATATGAAAGATGTGTTATTTCAAAAATGCTTTGTGTGTCTGTTGAAGACACAGGGTGAGTTTTGAACAGTAAAAGGCAGAGCGCCTTGGAGTGAGCCTTCACAGTGCTCACAGGAAAGAATTTGCAGAAGAGGTTCAAAGGTCCACTGAGGGCGGGCAAGAGAAGCCGCTTTTCTTCACAAAATGGCAAAGGCAGAAGTCACAAGACAAATGTCCAGAGTCAGCCCTGAAGTCCGGCAGCCTCCCAGCCTGTCTCAAACAGCAGCCAGCAGCGGCTGCTTAGAGAAGAAGGCATTGGGAGGAGGACAGGTACCAAGTGATCCCTGTCCCATGCATCCTCTGCAGTCAGTACCTCAGAGACTTTTTGAGTTTGAGGCTGCATGAAAACTGTCATGTTTACTAGCTGTTGTGTTTAATAGTCTCCAGCTCTGTTTGGCTCACATTTCATTTTCAATCATTTCTTTTCCATGTTTGACGCGTTCTAGAGTAACAGGACTCTCTGTGAGCAGAGGCTGTTTCATACAGTCTTTTTTACTGCTGTGAATGTTATCCCTCTCCTGACTGTTAGCAGTGGAGACATGGTTCAAATCAGAAATTATGTGTGGGATACTTAGGTGTAGTTTATACCTTATGCTATATAAATAAAAGGATAGATATCTGTGACAAAACTCTTAGATTTTCTGCATTGCTAACTAAAAGAGGTAAACCTTTCAAACCTTTTTTTTCAACCTTTCAACATTTCCTCAACCATTTCAACCCTCAGCTCTTCAACCCTGCTGCTGCTGGCTCCTGGCAGAGTGACCGTCACTGCAATACCAGAGCCTCTAACTCCCCAAGTCTGTGGGTCCCAGCGTGTCTGTACCTACTGTATCATTGCAGTGGGTTTCTTTTACACAGAACCCCTTGGGAAACAGTTTGATTTTTGGAGAAGGTTGTCTTGTCTTACTGCTTTAAGACATAACACAGAATAGCAAAAATTTTTTTCCCTACCTCTTCTCCACCTTTTTGATCATGTAGCTGCAGCTGGGCAAAGGGAGGGAAAAAGAAAAGGGGATTCATAACTCAGCAGTGACTTGGATGATTTGCTACATCAATACTGTTGGTTTGTATCAGTATAAATTATTGCTGTGGGTCCTAGTGATGAATCATAGTGATGCTGGGTGATAGTAATGGCATCAAACACAAGCTCTCAGGCTTTGTGGCAATGTCTTGTCCTCCTATAAATTAGATTTGTCTCACTGCTGATCTCTCCATAGACAGTTGAAATAAATTGTGGGCATTCTCAAACAAATGAGGAAGAAGGAGGAGGGGAATGAGGAGGGGACAGAGTTGTGTGATAAGCAAAGCTTCACAGGGTGTTGTGAGGTGACTTGCAGGTGACTTTCAAAGAAAGCATGGAGGAATTTGTCCTTCTGCTCATCGGCTCCTCCCAGGCATGAAGGTCAAGTTATTTGACATTGGCTTCAAGAACAAGGTCAGGCAGTTGCTTCTGTGCATGCCGCATGGGCAGAAAACCTGCAATTCATTTGCTACTAGTCTTTGATTAGAGCTAAAGGAGGTCTTAGAAAGCAGTATGTCTGCAGCTTGGTCTCTGGCCTCTGTCACAGCCAAGCTCTTCTCTTTGTCAGCTCTGTATCTCAAGGAGCAGAGTCTCATCTCTGGGACCTTCCCCAGGCCCAGGCCTCACCTGCGGACGTGACTCTTGTTGGTACAGAGCTGCGATGCGTTGCACCTTCCCCAGGCTGCGGCTGACCTGAGATGTTCAGCAGACTCTGTGCTGCTCTCATCATCCTGGAGCATCTCAGTTGCACAAACAAGAAGGGGAGAAGGAGGCAGTAGGAAGGAAAAAGATGAAATGTTTTGAAAGGAAACCAAATGGGAGCTAAAAATACTCCTCACTTCTTCCTACCCTGCCACAACAACCACTTTTAAATTAAAGGAAGAAAAGGTAAAGCATGGAAAGTACGGCATTTATATGTGGTGCTATTTGCCTCCAAAGTGCTGGGTGTCACCTGCTTGCGTGCACCGCTGTCAGAAACCTTCGCAGCACCCCAATGCACTGTGGGAGCAGCATGTCACTGTCCCCATTGACCCCTGTTCATTATGGCTTCAAGCTCGTCTTGCAGGAACACTGGGTATGAAAAAAAAAAGAGCAGCCATCACACCAAGGCCACGTGCATAAAGATAAATTATTTGGAAATTAGTCAAGCTGCACATGTTTCAGAAAAAAAAGGCACATGACACAACCTCTAACAGCAGTTGAACCCTACTGCAGCTGCAGCAAAATTATTCACTAGGGAACAGCGGCTGCGTGCATCGTGCTGTTAAGATTCTGCCTTGCAAGACACCCCTAGTTTAACTGCCTTGGTTTAATGACTGGCTCTACCTCAGTCCTACACTATTTGGCTAAGTCACTTCATTTGCTGGGGTTACAGATCTTTTATGAAGAAACCTGAAGCACTCCTTTTACATGGAGACAGCAATAAGATGAGGTGTCCTCCAAAAGTTGCAGCTGTATGAGATAAATTAAGAAGGGCTGGCTGGTGGAGGGGCTGGGAGACTGCAGCACACCAAGCAAGCTGTGAATTGAGCACGGGGAGGTGAAATTTCCTATTTTAAGTTTGCCTCTCTCCTGTTGTGACATAGCAATAAGAAAGGGAACTGGATGCTCATCTAAACAGTCCTGTCTGTCTGAAATGGGAAACTTTTGGTTCCTTCTGGAGCTGAAGGGTGACTCTCGAGTGAGAATATATACAGCCTTGCAGAGCAAGGAGTGGCAGGCAGACACCACATCAATCCTTCTCTACTTTCTGCTCAAATTGAGGTGAGCAGCCCGCTGTAGAGGTTTCATCATCTTGTATGTATATTCTCTAGAGGAATAAATGAGATTGTCACATGCCAGGCAGCAGCGTGTCAAACCCAAAGTCAGGTGATGGAGAGGTATCCTCGTCCTCACATGGCACTTGTGATGGAGAGCAGAGGGAAAGGCACGCAGATTGTTGTCTTTTTTATCTCGTTGCAGTTCAGTGGCTTGTTCTTTCTACGCAAAAGCCCCTTTAAACTGACAGTTTAAACCAAATTTCATTTTAAAAGTCTTCTCCTTAATCTTTCAACCCAATCTTGGGCCTGGGTTTTCTATCTGATACGTACTTGTTTTATGTAACTGCAGTTGGTCTGGCTGTGTGGCTTATTTCAGTACTTGAAAGGAAAACAGGAACTCTTTTGCTTTACTGTTCCCCTCTGATAGGCATTAGAGATGGTTCTTCATACTGAAGTTTAGTCTCTGGCTCTGCTCTGGCTGTAAATCCATCTGGGATGGGAGTATTTGGGATTTGATGTCCTGCATTCACTCCCTTGCCTTTCAGGAATGAAACTGATGTTTAGAGCTCAGGTCATCCGTTTTCCTCGGGCCTCCATTTAACAGAAACCTGAAAAAGCAATTTCTTCCTATATTTCCCATGTTGACATTTGAGGGGTTTGACCAAGAGTAGCAATAAGAGAAGTGAAATCTCGTTGGGAGCATGTCCATGAAACCTCTCACACAAGTTAGGCCACTCGAAATCAGCACATGATCTCCATGTGTAGTTAGTTAAGAGATCCTTTACATCCCAGGGGAGACCGTCAAGTGTAAAACTTCAGATCAATGCAATTTCATCCTTGACAAGGTTCAGTGCTTCCATGGGACTTCAAACACTGTTACATTAAACTGAATTCATGTTTACTTTCTTATGTCCCCAAGTAATGAGATCTAAATATTTCTCCTTTTCCTATCAGCCTCATGACCAAATTGCAAAGTTCATTTACTGCATGGCAAAAAAAAATGAAAAAAAGTAGTGTGTCTCATGCAGCTATTGAACAATCTTGTATCAGACAGGCCAGGAGAAAATATGGCACATCCTTTCTTCCAGCTCAGACTCTAGACGATATTTTAAATTCAGAGGGAAGGCTGAATTTAAGGGGAAGGGACACAGGGCCCCAGTCCCCACTGCAGCAAGAGTGTGGCTTGGTGGGCGCTCACTCTAGAAGCAAAGGGCTCTGGGGGATGTGCTACACCTCTTCCGGAAACTGCATTTGCAGCTTGTGGCACAGAAAATTGATGAATTTGGTTTTGAAGATAGTTTCTTGGTCTCCTGCAGCTAATGCAGAGACAGTGGGAGAGTCTGCATTCAGTTCCTGTCTCTGCTGCAGGCCATCCCACCCAGCCTTGCTTCCCCATTTCAGGGCAATGTGAAGTCTTTCTGTGCCTCTTTGTTTTGTTTGCTTGCAATGTCAGCCCTAGCACATCTGACTATACGTTACTCCACCCTGAATTCTGCCTGGATCTCGTATGGCACCTTCAGCCACTGCTCTGCAAAAGACAAAAAATATTATTTCTTCTGCTCACTTACATCTAGGTTTGCCTCATCTCCCTGCAGTTGCCAGTTTTGTGCTGTTTCCCATACATAAAGTTTGCAAACACGAGTGCAGACCACAACAGTTCCGGTTCCTCCTTGCCTGCATCACTTCTTTAAGCAGTTGTTGAAATGAAAGGCTGCTATAGCTATTGTGGAAAAGTTTCAGCTATGCAGTACCCAAGCTTGTGTTGATCTTGGTGGCAGATACAAACTTGCTTCCTGTATCAGTGTGGGGTTCAGATGACTCACAGGCAGAGCTTGTGCAGTCCAGATGAAATGGCTTCTGTCATTCACCTCTTCATGACAACCTCTTTCTTGTTGATAGTACTTTTATTGATGGCTCCTGTCCCTGGTAGTCTTCAGAATGAGTGCTCCCAATGCTGGTGGGGGGAAGATGGAGAGTCATGTTTGCACAGGTTTCTACATTTTTTGCATGCCTCTAGATTTGCTCTCCTGCAGTCTCAGTTCCCATGTCTCCGAGGAAAAAATGCACAGGGCATGATGGTCCCTGCATTTCTCCTGCTCTGACTCCTGCTCTCAGGCTGTGCCCTGTGGCTGTGGCAAGATGTTCTCCTGGACAGGGGTAAAGTTCAGGTAGAGAAGAAGTGGCAGCTCTTTGCACAGCGGCAGAGAGCTCAGAGAGCTTGTCCAGACAGTGAGACAGAGCTGTGGGCAGACAAGTCCGTGTTTCCTGCATCCTCAGGGAACGTAGCAGCAGGCTTCCTCCCCAGCCACCCACGCTGTTAAGCCAACATCAAAATAACAGAACACACACTATGCTGCTTTTGGCAAGTGCAGCTGCAGGTATAGGACTGGCAGACCATGCTGTGCTCCAGCTTGCTACAGCCTAAAAATGCAGAAGAAATGAAAGACATACCAAGCGTGAGGTAGGACAGCAGAGATCAGAGAACGAGGACGAAAGTGATGAACAAGATTGGATGCATGGTGGAGTCAGAAATGTGCCGTCTCACTATACAGCACTGAAACCCTCAGTAAGGTGATGAAGGAGCAATAAATGGCATCAGAGTAGTCCTTTACCCCAGCAGATGTTATTTGCTCTGACAACACCGTGGGCAGTGACTGATGCTCTATTGTGGCCTCGGACTTCTTGTTCTCAGGTCCACAACAAGTTTGGTCCCTTTGGCATGCGCTGTGCGTAGCATACACGCTGGCAGGGTGGGGCTGTCCCCAGGAGGGATGTGGTGGGGTGTCTGGCCGTGTGGCAACTCATTTGCTCATTTTACTTGCACGGAAATACCCTGGACCTGCTGCCTGAGGTGCTCCATGGTGAGGTCTCCAGCCTTTATGGAGGTCTTCTGCAGCCCCTGACTGCCCTGTGCCCCACATGCAACAGGAGCTCTCCCTAAGCTGGGGATTAGAAATTGTTTTTTCACTGCAGACCATTACATTACATCAACATTACATTTACATACAGAAGCACAGCGCTAGGACTGAGACCACAGCTCTAGACCTCACTCCATCTCACAGCTTGCTAAACTCAGAATGGGATGAACCCTGGAGTCTGGGGTTTGACAGTCCAGTTCAGAAACTTGGAGAAAATAATTCTGGTTCAATGTGGAAAAAAGCATATTTGGACATTTTTCTCAAATAAATAAAAGAAGGCAAATGATATTTTTGTAAATGAAGTAGTATAGCTAGACTTACAGAGAGATCTTTATTCTTTTCGTGTTTCTTTAAAATACTATTGTTACAGTTAGCTCAATTCTGAAGCAAAATGCAATTTCAAAATGTAAAGCCAGGATTTTCTGGATAAAAAATGTTGAAACAAAACTCATTAACTTTGTAATTCCTCCATCCTCCTGCAGAACCTGGCAGAAAAAGACAGTTAAACTCAAACCATTAATAAACAGATAACTTTTGCCTCAATGTTTCCTTGATTTTAAACCCTTCATGACTGTCTGACTTGGAGACCCATCCTGCATTTAGGACTGTGGCCCTTGCGTGCTCCCTGGAAACAAATTGTTGATAGGAAGTTGGCCCAGGGCCCATTAAATTGTGTCTTTTGCTTTTGTTCTCCTAGGTTATGAGCGTTTTGCTGCTGATTGAGTACTCCCTGGAGGTGGCTAGCGGAAAAGGCTTTTGCAAAGACCTGGACAAGGATTACTACAGAATTGGTAGGTCACTGGGATGCTGGAAAGCAGCAGGGGTCTGTGGGGCTGAGAGGGAGCTGTCCTGGTTTCGGCTGGGATAGAGTTAAACCACGACAGGAGCCCGAGGTGCTGCATTGGTCCCTCTTTCTTTTTCACCAGAGAAAATTGGAAACTGGTGTTCAGAGCAGATAGGCCAAAAGCTCAGACCCAGAGACAAAATTTAGGCTCTAAAGATTTGAATTTTGGTTTAGGCCATGGCTGTGTTGGCTTTTGGGAGACCAATGTGGAGTAAAGTCGTCTTTACTTCAGTGGATCAGGCCCTCAGCCCAAACTCTCCAGTACCCTCATATTCCTCCACCCTTCCCACCCCCTCTGCAATACACTTTGCATTAATCTGACATCCTGGTTTCCCCTTCTCTTTCTTTTCACTAACTGTAGATCATTTAGGCCTTACACACACTGTTGACTCCTTTCGCTTGTTGGGCATTTTCCAGGAAAACACTGAAGTGTCTGACCAACTCCTCAATGGACCTAGTCTGGCTGGTGACCTCGGGGTCCCAGAGTGGGGAGAAATCGCAGCCCCATGCTACATCCCATGGGTGCACGGGCTGCCTGACATGGCCACCAATACCCTGCCCTCTGTGCCATGGAGCTATATCCTCTTCTCGTCACCCATCATGCCATGCAGGGGTCTCCTACCTCACAGCTGAAGGCACTTCAGAGTGCCACAGCAGCCCACCTCCCTTTCCCCTGTCCCTTTGGCCCCCATCCCCAGACGTTCTCAACCCCTTGGTTTTTTTGCAGAACATTGGTTGTCTGAAAGAAGCAGCCAGGCTGTTTTGTATCCCACAAATAGTCACAAGCATCGTATTCACCCCAGTTGATTGAATTCCTATGCCTTGAACTAGGAAGGATCTAGCTTGGCTTTCAGAGACCTGGCAGATTTCTCACGTGGGGTGCCATTTAAAACAAAAGAACTGCCCAAACCTCAAATATTACTTAACCAGGCTAATTTTGTGTGAAACTGTTTGGAAACAACAAACGCAGGGTGCTTTTTCCTTTTCTTAGTCACTTTTCGGTGTAAAGCCACAAGTTGAGCTAATCCTTCTCTGCTGTGTGCAGAAAGACGGAAATCAGACTCTGACACCCTGCATTGCCTCTCCTTGCGGAGAAGGCTCATAGAGAAAAATGCAACCCACAGCAGCAAGGGTCCTGTCTAGTGCCTGAGTGTGCCAATCTGTAAGCATGCTTAGAGAGGCCCCCTGTAAGTGGAGGAAAAAGAAGGCAAATACAGTAAATTCCTGCACATCCCAAACTCACTTGTCCCCGGGGCAGGAGTCAGACACAGTGGAAAGCATCAAAACCAGGCATAGTCGCTGTCTGGGTGAAGTTATTGCTAACAGATGGGTTCACATTTTTCAAAAGACCGCAGTGGGGTTTTAGCAGGCATCACTGCGATCCACCAAGGCTGTTTTGAAAGGCTTCAACAGTGAGCAGAAGATGGAAATCTGGGTGAGTCCTGCTAATAGGACACCGAGCAAGGGTCTGCTGGTTCACATCTTTCACCCGGGGCATCGTTTCCAAAGTAGTCCAGCCTGGTGGGTTGGAGGCTACTTTGCTTAGCTGTGGCCCACACAGGCCCCTCTGGAGCTGTGGCTCAGCTCAACACCCAGTGTAGGCTTGCATGATGACGGCTTTGGAAAACGCGTTCTGCCGAGCGTTCCCGTTAGGGCACCATGCACCGCACCGAACAGGCTCTAAACCCCAGCTGTTTTCCAGGTGGCTGGGGTCAGCACAACAGCGGCAGGAGAATCCAGTTTTCCATTTCTGTAATACACATTTCTAGTTTTAATTTTACAGATGCAAACTGAAGAATATAATGCAAGTGGGACCTTAAGGTCCCTTTTTGGGGTTTTTTTTTGGTTGTTGATGTTGGGTTTGTTGTTGTTTGTTTTTGTTTTGATGCAACTGGCTTGGACATGGGCACGGCTGGAAATATTTTTTCCTGATGGTAGAGTATGCACATGCATTCTGACGAATACAGTGATCTGAACTGCTGAAAACTGAACATGGTATTTGCAGATCAGAATACTTTCCCACAGATACAGTTACATAAAAATGACAGTTGTTTGTTCATTATCTTTTGCAGAAATATCATCCAAGGCCAATAATATTTACTTTTCTTCAAGTATCTAAGTAAAATATTAAGGAAAAAGAAACAAATCGTTAAGACAGATTTTTCAGATAATTTCCATATGAAACCATGATAAGCCTTCTAAGCAAGACTTGCATTTCTGCAAATCTGGAGGGTTTTCTTTAAGAATGGAACCATTCCGAGTAAAATTGGCCCCGTTTTTAACAACCCCGCCTCTTCCCACACACTCAAAATGACAGGTCTTCCCCCTCCCGCTCTTCCACTGCTTCCTACCCAAAAAGGAACATTTTATAATGAAATCCCCAGCACTTCCACTTGGCCTCTCTTCCCAAGCATTTCAAAGGGCTCTGTTTGGGAGATTGTGAGTGTTTTCTGATTATAGTTGGAATAAGCACAGTGCAACCCTTCTATTTCCAGAAACTAGCAGGGATGCAATACAGCAAAGCAGTACAAAAAGTTCAGTTTGACTTCAAAACCCAGATGGAAGAGTTGGAGAACAATTTGCGGAGAGGTTCTGTCGATGCCCTCAGCATCTGCTGCTCTATTTGTAGATCCTGCCAGATTAAAGCACGTCTCAGAATATATAATGCTAACGCTGTAGTCATGGCCCAAGAATATAAACAAGTCAAGGTTGATAGAAAAAAGCTTTTCACATTATACAGTAGGAAAAAATACATATAGGAGTTCTTTATAAGGAATCAGAGCTCCCTCAAGATTTCTCAGCAGTATGTTTTGCTGCCTTAAAAAGAGGGGCTGGGATGGGCCTCGACTTCCAGAGGTATGGTCAGGGAGGGGAAGGAGAACTGGAGTTGGTGTAGGTTTTTGTGATTGCCAGGGTAAAGGGAAGGGCGACTGGGTCAGCTGCCCTTAGAAGAGGGATGGTCTGTCCCTTGCAGCCTGCTACTCCTTGCTGTCTTGGCTCACAAGATGCCACAGGCAGCACAGGACCAAGGGCACTCCTCTGAAATTTGTTTTTCAATGAAAGTTGGCCAAGAAATTAATATAAGACCTGCTGAAAATGTTGGATTAAAATGGGAAGAAGACCCAGGTTCTTCTTTGTCTTTGGGAGCCTTGAAGATGATTTTCCCACCCCACGTGGGGACAATGCCAGGATGTTGGTAATCTAAAGTAGGTTTAAATTTACTACTTAACTAATATTTAAGAAATAACACAAGATTAATTTGGCCAGGCAGAGAGGACAGGAGACAAACTTTGTTGCTTGGTGATTTGGGGCATTCAGATGCAATTTGGAAGAATTAGGTTCACATATCTATGCTCTCTCTCACGTACAGCAGAAATTTGGATGTGCATTTCCCATGCAGCCTCCCCCATTTCCAGTCTAGTACAAATCTCATCCTGGAGCTGAGAAGCCTTCGTGGCAAAAGTCGTCTTGGCAGTGCTTCATTCCTGAAAGCGTATGAGCTTTGGCAGACTAGCTTTTCCTGCTGGAAAAATAAAACCAGAAAACAATCCCCCAAAAAACATTTCAATTAAAACCTCCTTACCAGTTCTAAGCTGCTAACGTGAATGGTTTTCTGCATTGAAAAGGTTATGCCCGACTGCTTGCCATAGGTCAGATCTTTAGGATGTCTTCAATTCATGCCTGTGTACAGTCTGAGTGTTAATAACTTTTATTTTTCATTAATGACTATAAAAATTGAGGCTGTGGACAAAGTACAACTGGAAAAGTTGTTTCAATTTCTGCCCAGTCAGCCAAGAAAAATACCTCAGCTATGCCTGAAGATCTGTGTGCACAGCATATACCATATCCTATGCATACCATTTCCTATGCAGAAAATATTCCCTCCTCTGACGAAAAGCGAATCTGGCTAAAGGGACCGGGAGGCTTCTTTCCCTTGCTGGTGCTGTCCACCCTTTGAATGCGGCTGTCCAGAAACAACTCCCTGCAGCTTATCAGCACCACCGGAGCAGACACTGCCGTCCTTGGCAATCTGTGAAGGCAACTGTTAAACCACAGCTTTATGGGCCCTGTTTGCATTTCCCATGCCAGTTTATTGCATTCATGGGAAATATTAGGAGCCATTCAATGTCCCTCCTGGCTACATTCAGGGCAAAAACCCTGATGTGAAGTTAATAAAAAATAGACATTTGGCAAATAAATGTTCTCTCTTCCTGTTGGATGGGTGGGGGGTTTTGTACTACTTGCTAGCATTGCAAACATCTAGTGCAGCTCTGCAGAGGCTCTGTCATGCGCCCCCGTTCTGGTTACACCACCTCGCCAAGGAAAAGGGCATTTACTTCACAGCACATATATATTCCTTCTCATTAAATTCCCTGGGGTCTCTGGGAGACTCAGGTAGTCTCAGAGAATTTGAGTAAGAAAAAGCATAAGAAAGAGCATGTTTGTTTATTTCTTGCTGCTGTTTATTCCTGTATGCTTTTGGAAAAATGTGCACCTCAAAGGGGACAAGCTCTCACCACACCCTCTGCCAGCATTAAAGTACCACTGCCAGCATGGAGGTGGCTGTGGAACTGAAATATTCTTGTAGGCAAGGGTATTCTAGGGCTATAGGAGTGAAGCAGGCTTTGTGAGGAGCAACATTTCTTCCCTGCCGGATTTTGTAATCATTGAATCAGAGCAAAAATAAGGTGGATCCCTGGAGGTCTCCAGTCCAACCTCCTGCTTGAAACAGGGCTGACACCAAAGTTGGGGCAGCTTGCCCAGGGCTCTGTCCAGCTGAGGTTTGTGGATTCCCCCAAATTAGAATTTCACATCCTCTATGCATCCCTGTTCAAGACTGCATCACTTATTGTAAGATTTTTTCTTCCTTTTATCTGGAATTTCCTTTATTGTAACAATTGCTTCTTGTCTTGCAATAACGGCCCTCAGAGAGCCAATGCACCTTCTACAGGGAAAAAAAAAACGTTATCCTCTAAATACTCCGGTGCTTTTTAAGGTGTTGTAGAGGAAAACGGGTTATTCCTGAGACAGGCACCCCGATGAACATGGGGAAGGAATAGAGGGGAAAACCATGGAGTGATGCCCCTGTGTTTGAGATTATACAGGTACTCACCCTGGGTTCAAGATTCCTAAATTTTGCCCTTTTCTGAGGGTTTTAAGTACAAAAGAGACAAACATTCATCCTACAAAGGCCAACTAAGCATGAAGGGAAATACTGAAGAGACTTAAAAATTAATGTCTTATATTTTTGGACAACAGATGCTGGGCACGGAAAGAGCCTGTTAGTCACAGTAATCTGGTCTCTAGGGTCTGCTGTGGCTGCAAGTGCTTCAAATCCCAGGGATCCCCAGGGATCTACTGCTGGTTCTGGAAGGTAACTTCCACTCTGCCAGCCCATGCAAAGTATTCCAGGTGGCATTTGGCCTCTCTGTAACAGGTACCGCATTCCCATTTCATGGAGGGTGTGCACAGACAGGGCTAAGAGCCAGCAGCTGCCACTGTCTAAGGGGGTCACTCCTTTAGCCTATCTGCTGAATGTGCTCCCACAAAGGAAGCAATTTTGTTGAAGTAAAACTTTTGATTAGGGAGATCAGGTCCATTGGTACTAAAACATCCCTGGAAGGAGAGATCTGCTGGCAGCAGAAAGGATGGCTGTATTTGCTGTGAACAAACAGGAGGCAGACAGTGCATGGAAAGTTGTTTTCTCTTGGTTTTCCTTTCCTTTCCACCCCTTTGTGTCTGCAGGGTTGGGGGCTTTTTGTTTCTTTGTTGTTTTGTTTGGGGTTTTTTTGATCTAGGTTCTGCTTGGAAAATTCAGCTGGGTTCTGCCAGCAATTAGCCTGCAGAAGCAACGGCCAGTTGCCCAATTAATTAGTGAGCCTGCCGAGAGAGATGGAGCATGAGACTGTGCAGAAAGAGGCAGAAAAACACAGCTGTCTTGAATCCAAGGAAACACCGTGCTAAAGAGACAAATCCTCTCTGGGGCAAACTTCTGATGGTTGGTTCTGGGAGGAAAACCAGGGAAAATGGCTTCAGGCAGTTTGGGGTTTAATGGGACTGGGACTGTCTCCTTTTATGGCTGTTCCTACAAAGGCTGAGTCTGTCTTCTTTGTTAAGCTCTTTCTTGGTTTGAGTTTATGCTGTCCTCGTGTTAATCTGTGGTTCTTTGTGCACCAGATCACAGCCTTGTCTCTACTCTCCTGCTTCTGAAAGGTGGGTTTGATTTTCTGCCTTGAAGCTTAGGCTCTTCCCACGACCCTTGTGAGCTGCAAAGCTGTGAGCAGCTTCTTCTGCAGCTTTCTCCATTGCCCTCTCTGTTCTCATTTGGGGTTTGCTGGGTTTTCTTTCTTTGGAGTTTTCTTCTTTTGCTGTCTTCTTCCTTTGCTCTTTCCTAAGACTTCTTCCTCTCCTGCATTTCAATTCTCATTACTCTGTGGTAAACAGATCCTGCATTAGGTTTATTTATCAGGTTATAAGTAAAAGCTGTTTTCTTGTTTTGTGCCATCAAAACTCTTTTTTTTTCTGATGTAGGTTAAGTGTTTGTTGGATACTTTTGATCAGTCCCTTAAGTCTTGAATGTCTAACACCTCCATGTGCAGCAACTCGCATAGTGCTGCTCCTTCTCTTGAGACAAGCTATTTTTGCTTCTTTGGGGGATGCAGCCTCCTCGAAGGGTTTTTTCCCTTTGCGACCCAGAAAGGAAGAGGCTTCTCATGCTCAGAGAAGGAAGTACTGGTCAGAGCTTCTTTTCAGACTAAAGGTTTATCATCAGCAAATATAATTTCTAGAGGAGACTGAAGCGTGTTGCTAATAGTTGAGAAGATAATAATGGAAATTAAAATATCTTTTGTATCAGTGCATTTAAATGAAATAAAGTGCACTCTCTGCTAGCAGAGTAAGGATGTGAGGAGTGTTGCTGTTGGTGCCACCTGCCCTTGCTGCCAGATGTGGCTCAGCCCAGCTGTCAGGCAGGTCTTCTGCAACCCTGGAGAGTCTCCAGAGTTTCCCAGTATCGTCGTTTGCCCTTTCTTCAACTGGCGTTTGCCCATGCCCACATTGCTCAGCAGAGCATGGATGCAGTACTTGACAGTTTGCATGTGCTGCAGCTGCTGCATCCAGTGGGTGCCCATCTCCTGCCAGGTGTCGTGGGCAGCACTGGGTGGTAGGTCTGCCCTTCTCCAGCATGGTTCTCCCTTTGACTTGGTCTGACTGTTAGCATTTGCTCCCTCAAACAGACTAACTGGCCAAATCATGATATAGCTGTGACTGCTCCGATACAAATGTTTTGTTGCTGTAAAGAGCAGTGTTGGTGTTATCTGCCTAAAAAGGGAGTGATGGGTTTCTCTGCCTCAACATCTTTGTAAATTATTTTATTCTATTGCCAGAAAAGCTGGGAAGTGAGTTAAGGACACCTTGGTGCCCAAGCACTGCAATACTCCCCCCAAAAACCCCCCCCTAAAAAAAATGTAATGTGGTACCAAAGCTACAGGCAAACACTCAAAGCTGGGGGAGATGGAGGGGCATTTTCATGGGGAAAAAATGGGTGACATGGAGCAGTGAAGGATTTCAGAGCAGCTGGAATGTATCAGGGATCCAACAGGCTAAAGCACAATTTCTAGATTTCTTTATGAAAGCAAGTGAAAAGGGTAATGGGAAAAATAGAGTTAGGTACTAGATATATTTAATAGCCATGGAATAAATTGGGCAGTTGGCAGGGGGGAAAAGTGAACCAGTAATCAAGTAGTACTGTTGTTCAAGAAACACACCTATGGAAAGAATCAGTTGCTTTAAAAAAGTCAGAAAAGTTAAACATTTGGGTCCTTTCTAATAAAATTAAACCCTTTATTCAAGCACTTGGGAGTTGGAGACCCCAAACAGACTGTTGCTATTTTAAAGTCAGGTAAAACAATAAGAAAGAAAGGAGGCACCGTGAAAGACTGTGCATTATGCAGAGGCAGATAGAGAAAGTAGCAGTGTCTTGCCTTTGGAGTGAGCTGCCCCCCCCCCCCCCCACAAAAATTTTTCTTGTTTTCTTTTTTCTCCTTTTTTAAAGAAGCAAACCAATTTTACAAAAAAACTCACAATGCCTGGACTGCTACGAAGACCAAATGTGTATCCTGCACAGTGCAAGCAAGGCTTTGGTAGTCATCACCAGGGCAGGCTGCAATACCAAGAGAGGCAATGGCTTCCTGGGAACTGCTCAGTAGGAAGCTGCATGTAAGAGATCACCTTCCTGCACCCAGACAGCTGACAAAGATTACCTTAGCCCTGTAGGTAGAACTGGCTCATGTTGTTCTCCTCACACATTTATTTTTAATGTGTATGTTGTATTCTATAGCAATGTATTTCACCCTGAAACTCTACGGTCCCTAACCAGCAGTGGGTGGTTAAAACTCATGCTTCTTGTCTGCTTGTGAATCTTGCAGATCTGTCACCAGATTTCACTGTTGGTTATTTTATCTGTCTTTGAGTCTCAAAATAATTTCCAACTCAGACTTATTAATCTTCAGCTAAAAGCACTCTGCCTTTTTTCCTACTTCATTTTACCCTAATATTGTAGCCTAGGATATTTAAAATTTCAGTCCAGGCAATAGAGGCTTTTGGCTCCCGTGTGCCTGACTGACAGCCTGCTCAACCCACTGGCTAAAGAAACAGAAGCTTCAAAGACAGAAGAAAAAGTGGGTGTAGAAAAGGAAGAGAGGTTTACCTTCCAGCTGCATGGCATTCATTCCCCCACATGCACCATTCTTTCTGCCAGGTTATCACACTTTAACTCTTCCTTAGAGGTATGATTGAATTGGGACAGCTTTTAGTAATGTGGTAATTACTTTTATTACTTTTAGCTGATGTCATCACCAGTTTCCTGTTGATCACCATGCTGTTTGTCATCAGCTTCAGTCTCCTCCTTGGTGTGGTGAAGGTATGTTCTCTACAAGTGACATTTACCTGCTGGCTTAACTCTCTGAGTTAAGAGGTATTAGAGGAGAGGATTAGAGGATGCTCACTGAAAATGCTGAAGTGTGATCAAAAAAGCAGGTAAATATCTCTGCTCCCTTCAGAGGGGGAAGGAAGCTGGTTTGCAGTCTCAGGCTCATCTGCAAGGCTGCTAACTGCCAGCTTTACCAAATCTGGGTGAAGTTTCCATCAAGGCTATTTTTCATGGTAAGGAATGGAAATATTATGATTTGGAAATGTCGTTTTATTGCCTCATTTCCTTGCTCTTTTGCAAGTCAGATCCTGGAGGGGAACTGTATCTCCCCTATTACGCTGGGGATTTACTTCCCATTTCAGAAGGAGAAATGACCATGCATTGGTGTGGGAACCCAGTTTTCTCTGTAGTGGTAAACTTCGGGGTCAGCTGAATAACAGCTCTGATGGGATCAAGTGCCAATGTCACATAGTGAAAATTCACAAAAACTTTCCAAGGGGGTGAGAAAAATGAATGTTGATGCCCTTCATTTTTTCTGAATCAATTGTCACCACAATATGTGGAATTAGATGCAGGAAAGTATTTATTCTTGGCGTACCTTATTATATGTCCTTTCAGGTATTGATAGCTGGTCTCATTCTCCCATTTAGGATAGAAATAACTGGCTTTGCTTTTCTTTCTCAGAAGAGGGAACGACTCCTGATCCCATTCCTTGCTCTACAAGTCATGGACTTTCTCCTCAGCCTCCTAACAATGTTCAGTTCCTACGTACAAGTCCCAGTGATCATTTCTGTGTCCTCCCTTAGCCACATGGTAGGTAATAGCTCACTTCTGGGGTCATCTTCTCTGTTCTCGATGAGATGGAGACCGATGCGTGATGTAGGAATAAAGGATCATTATCTGGGGTCTCAGCTCTTCATAGTGAGGTAATTTTTATACTAGCTGGAGACAGGGTGCAATCCTTGGGTGCTAGAGAGTGTGCAAGGAAAACAGCTGGGACATTGTTTAGTTTCCCATGTCTGGGAATCTTCCCGTTGATTTTTATTTTCTGTCTCATGGCTTTGGGGAGGTCGACCTGGGTGTGCCTATGAAGGGTTTGCTGGAGATAAGCTAGAAATACCACTGCTCCAGCTAGAGGCCTCTTCTGTGGAGCTTGTATAAATCAGCCCAACAGGATGGTTTGCTCATCATTTTGGCGAGTATAAGTGAATTGAATAGCTTAGGCTGTCAATGTGAACAAAGCACAGGCCCTGTGCAAAATGTGGAAAATCTATAAAAGTGATGCAATCTTGTAATCATAACCAAATTCCTGTTCCCTGCCCTTCTTGCAGCAGGGACACTCAAAGATCCCTTTCCTGGCTCTGCAGCTGCTGGACTTCTGCCTGAGTATTCTCACTCTCTGCAGCACTTACATGGAAGTCCCCACCTATCTCAGCCTCAAGTCTTCAGACAGTCGGGTAGGTTATAAGCAAGCTCAGCTGATTTTTTGTGCTGTGAACCCCTATGAAATTTCTTTCAGTGGCTGTTAAGGCAGAGTAAACTTTCTCTGATCTCTATGGCATACCCAGAACAGCTCTGTTTGATGACAAAAGAGGATTTTCCATATGTTCTCACCAACACGGTGTTCTTGACTGACAGCTTGCTTATGCATGTGTTTCTTAAATATACACCTTGTTTTTCGTGTAGACTCTTATGGATGCAAACTGCAGAGCAAAATGATTTGGATAGAGCCTGCCTGCATGCATTGCAAATGCATCAACTCTTCATCTTTATTAAACAGTCATACTTTTAGTTCCATTTAAATAGTCTTCTGAAAATCTTTGCCAAAGGAGTGTGAACAGTAGAAGGAAAACAATATCCCTGTGCTTTCCGATGAGGAAAGGAAGGTGGCCTGTCCCACCTTTCTGAGAGGCAGGCTGAGAAACTTGCTGAGATCTCCATCACTTTGGGTGACCCTGGTTCAGGGAACAGGTGTTCATGACTGAGACCCTCTCCTTCTTTCACAGGGCTTTTTGCCAACCCTGGAGAAGTTACCAACAGAGGAATATGCCAAAGTGATGGTCACCTTCACCATTGCGTTCATTGCTGTCCTCTTCCTGAAGGTAAATGGCTGCAGGGTCTGGTGAGGCTGAAATGAAGCTCTCTTGCTTGGGCATAGGAGGAATTGTTTTTTACTTCTCCCTCAAATCTGCCAGGGCATTGGAAAGCCTTGTTGATCCCTCCTTGGGCATAATAGGACCTATGCCTCAGCGCAGTGTCTGAGGCAGGTCTAATATTCAAATCACTGGTTTTATGCTTTGGCAGATGTGAGTTATAAAGCAAAATCTCTCTTACATCCAGAAACTATTACTGCCCATCCATCTCTAGAAGGATAAGATGTTTGAAAACAAATATAGGAAGCTCTTCTGCTATTGTGTGCCAAAATAAGTGAGATCATTAAGCAGCAGGTTAGATCTTCCACTTGGGTAAGTCGCTGTATCTGCACTGATGTAAGCAGTTATGCACACTGATACCCTGAAATTTAATTAAAACCCATGAGCTGCTAAATTCTGCTTGCATCTCAGAAAACTCCACTGTGAGATGTTTTCTATTCTTCTTGCTTCAATGGATCAGAGAACAGGTTTTTCACTGAGGGGTTTCAGATCAGCTAAGAAAACCAGATCTTTCCAGGTGCTTGAGCAGATTCTGTCACAGTGAAAAATGCTACTTGTTACTTGGAAAGCATTTCTTATTCAGACTCTTCCCAGGCGGCCAGACAAGCCAGTGTGGAGTGGAGAGTCTTGTATGATTGCACTGCAGACATGACCCTAGCATATCTTTTAATATTTGCATAAACTGCGCAATAGGAGTGGAAATAACCCTGAAACCCAGCTGGCAGTGTGGGTCTTCAGCAGAAATCTCACTGACCTGGCAAATCGGTTGATTTGAATTTTCCACAGGGTTAGCTACAAGACTGCTTAACTTGCAATGACTTTTTGCACTGGAGTTTGTAGGAGGAAGGATAGGGAGAGGATAATTAAAAATAAATGGACAGGCACAAGTACTCCTTGGTCTACTGAATTCCCCAAAACAAGTCATTAGGAACCCCATTCTTTAAACTTAGTGACAACCCCTCCCCTCTTCCTTGCGTAGCAAAACCATTTTCATGACAGAGTTCCTTCCAAGTGATAAAGATCTGATGAGGAACGTGGCAACAACATGGAACATTTTAGACCTAAAAAGGCCGTTGGCCAATTTAGGGGCCATGAGTTTCAATTCACTGAGTGCCCACACCAAAGTAGCATCTAAATATGCTGGACTAGCCCAGGATCTTTTTGCATAAATTGGCTTGCTTAACGACCCATCACAAGCATTTATTGCTCTTACACTAAAAAGTTGTTTCTGTGTATCCAGTGCTGTTTGCTTGCCAACTTGCAATTACTGTCTGCAAATAGTTATCTGCATCCCGCGCCATAGCATAATTCAGCTAAAAGGTGGTCTGTCAGATGGAGAAGAGATGGGGCACCTGCCCCACTGAATGCGTCTGCCAGTGACCTCATAGGAGACTTGCAAGACTTTGCTCACCCCTTTTAGCAGGAAAGATTTCTCTGACAATGCTAGGGGGATGGTAACACTCCTCTCCCTCCTTTCTCTCATATAACACCACCCTTTGCAGGGAACATGTCCTGTTGCAACATGGACGTCCCTTCATGCAACTTCCTGGTTGTATGTTTACTTCTAGAGCCCCAATGGTGATATCATCAGTTGTTCAAGTCTAAGTTTCTTGGAGATGCAAAGTATTCAAAGGGCAGAGGGAGCAAAGGGGTGATGATTACATAGCACCGTTAGGGCAGTCTTCCTCGCTGATCTGGGGATCCACAAGTAATCTGTATCTCACCTCAGTATCATAAAGTCATCCCCTTCGACCACCATGGTGATAAGAATGCAGAAACAAAGGAGAATAAAACATTTTTGATGGGAAATGAAAGAAAGGGTTTAACATAATTACTTCTGAAGTAGCTTGCTTCCTGACCTCTAGGATAAGCTTCCTATCCACTTATAATTTCAAGGGCGGCCAGAAAAGATTTCCCTCTTCAATTCAGTGTGGAGAAGGGTATCCTACAGTGAGTCTTGAGTGTTTTGACTTAGCCAGTAATGGGATGATCCCAAGGCCACTGGCTGCCTTTACATAAGCTGTGTGTACTAATGTATTCTGCTCGAACGGGCTATTGCTTGCAGCAGCCTTAACTGAAGTCAACTTCATTGAATTCGGCGCAGATACTGGGTTGGCACTGCAGCAAACTCTTCCAGAATCAAAATCAAAGAAAGGATTTTTTTGTTGTATAATTTTTTTTTTTTAAAATTTTTGGGGGTTTCTTTCATGGATGAATGGGGGTTTTTATAGAGTTTATACGATGGCTTCAGTGTCTTGCATGTTTGCTCTCTATGTGAAGAGGCTTTTGGAAGGGGGAAGGTTTTTGCAGTATTCCCTAAAGGTGGTCAAAGTTTAGATTTACCTCCTCATCTCTGGAAGTTTGTTTGAGAGATGGATTCCTTCAACTCAGATACTTCACTCCTTGTTCTCGTTCTTTGTCTTGGCTTTGTGTCAAGACAAACAGTCCTCATTGTTCTAGGAAAATCCTAAGCTACATGGCTTGTTCTCTGGGCATATAACTCCCCATGTTCCTTTGAAAATGCCAACTGTTTTTAAAGTAGAGTCTTATGCCAATAAAAATAAGAGGCACACGACTTCGCCTCGCTGCGCAGAGTAGGGAAAATATTTATTTAATATGGTATGTTTCACAGGCCTTGCTTATTTTCTTGTGCCACAATCCGTCAATCGATCCATTTTTCTCAGAAAAGCTCTATTTATTGCATCTTGTAACTCTGTGAGGTGCAAGGCAGTCTTGTCAAAAAAGTGTAACTATTGCACGTACAGGATTTTGTTGAATGAGCTTTCAGGTCAGTCCTTGTTGACCAGGGAGCCTTGGATCTCTGGGAGGTGGATGTTGTGCCCAAGGTGCTTTTCTGAGACATCCAAACTTTGTAGCCTGCTCAGCAAAATAACTGAAAGACATGCTTTCCTTTCCTACCTGATGACATTGCACACTCAGAGTTCTTAAGTATGTGCTTTATATATAATGGTATTACTAGTCCTATTGACTTCCCATAGCAGTGTACTCTTCCAAATAGATGGAGTTGTCACCTTTCTAGCGAAGGATCAAGAGAGGGTGATTTAAAACCCTGAGACACATGGTCCCAGGCTTCTACCTCCAGAGAAGAGAGTAGGACAATAGCAGGCTGATGGCAAAAGTGGAAATGCTTTTGTTGACTTGCAGTGCAATGGCAGACTTCCCTTTCCCTTTCCTTTTCAGGCCTATATGTTCAAATGTGTCCTGGGCTGCTTTAAGTATATTAAAGCCAGCAAGAGAGAGCAGATGAAAGTCAACCCAGAAGCAGTTGAAAAGGTGAGTAAAGACTGCTTCAGATTTACACCATGAAAAGGCACAGCTTAGACTGATAAGATGCATGATGATCCTTACTTTTGCTTCTTTGGTGGTCTGAGAGATAGTTCAACCCTTCAAATGTGCCTTAACAGGTACTAATAATAAGTTTCCAATTATATTATGTTTCTTTAACTTCACTTTTGTATAAAATCTTTCAAAGCCAATGGTATCTGCAAGGAACCTGAAACTCAGGCTTCAGGCAAAGCAGAAAACTGGGAATATATCACTTGTATTCTCTGATCCAGAGATGTGTTTTTAATTTCAGTTGAACTTTGGTTTCTGTGCCTAATAGTGCTACCCTTGTTTAAAATTAAGTTTGTCTTCACCTTTCACTGGATCAATGTCTAAGAGATTTGGTGCATTGCCCTTCATCTTAACAGTTTGCTAAATAATGAATATCAATGTCCTTCCTTAGATTACTGATGATCTCTTTAATAGCAGCATCCAGCTGCTCTGACATAACGGAAAGATATTGAAGATCTTCCAAAAATAAGAGATACTGTAAAGATGGATGAGAAGTAAAGGGGAAGAATATGGAATGCTGAGTGTAGGCATTTATCTTGTTGAAACTTGGCAAATAAGATGAGCCTTGTCTTGCCAGCAGTGTGTGCCCCTGCTGTGCATGCATCATGGCCCTCTGCAATGATCTGAGCTTAACTTCTTTGCTTAAGCAATGAGGCTTATATTCTGGACATTAAAGAGCCTTGGTCCATTTATTGCAACCACGATTTGGGAGAAGGAGGTGGGACTGGCAGCAAAGTGGTTATACAGTGCCGCTGACCTCTAGCTCTTCTGGATTTCTGCCCTTTATGTCTTACAGCCTATGTGGTACTTTTACTCTGCTTTGAACTAGGTAGAGAAACACATCCAAGATCAAATCCACTTGAAACCCTTCATGTGATCCCCAGAGCATAACTAATGGTCTTCTCTTTCAGGTAGTGCTGCCATCATATGAGGAAGCCTTAGAGATGCCTTCCAAGGAATCCCCACCACCCTATGCAGCAATATAAGCTCCACTCATGGAGACAAGATGACACGTGTATTGCTGTTGGTGCCTCTTACCCCTTCTGTCAGATAGTCAGCCTCATTGAGAATTCCTTACTTTATAGCAGTATCATGCTTATTATAATCCAGCTCACTTTCTGAGCCTACAAAGAGTGATGGTGAACCACTGGAGTTGGTGCCTTGTTCTACACTGGCAGTTCAGACTTGGTACTACCAACTTGCTATGCTAATTTTAGTAAACTTGGCACCAGGCACCACAGAAGCTCCCATCACTGGCCTCTGACATCTGGCTAAGGTGAAGTGTAGGTGCTGGCCTGAATCCCTTGTCAGGCTTGCTTTATGCCAGCAAGATGCTGTTTCTCATCTGTCTCACATCTAACTCAGCAGCTGAGACATTTAGGAAGTGGAATGGGGGGAAAATGGGCAAGAACCTTTTCACTGAGATAGCTCAACCCTGAAGCTATGCTAACCAGCATCGTTTAATGAGGACCCTATGGGAAAGGGATCAGCAAAAGAATGAAGATTTCAAATAAACTACGATGCAGCTCTCATCCTGTCTGCTTATGATGATGATTGATAGTAGGTACTCCAGAACATACAACATGCTGGAAATGTCACAGTATTGCTCTGCCATTTTATACCTGAGCGTTTGCATTTTTTTGCTTTTAGTGTGACTTGAAAGATGTTTTAATTAAAAAAAAAAAAAAAAGTTAATGTCTTCAATACTTTGCTGTCTGATTTCTGAACGATGCTGTTCTCGCTGTCTGAAGTACGTCACGAGAAAGTAATAGTTTGCTTTCTAAAAAAATTACTTAGCAAAAATGGTACTTTGGCCTTAGGCTGATGTTATCTCATGTGTGTGCTGCTCGCAAAGGAAAAGATGGTATTTCTAACAGCCAGCCTGGCAATTTAATCTAAACATCTAGCTTGTTCCTTCCTCTTGTATGTTATCACCAGTGATAAAGATTCTGCTTTCTGTGGCACATTCACGAGTGACTCTGATTGCACAGGTCAGTCTCTGTAGATGTTAGTGAATAGTATTGCTGACGACAGATGAGAGGTATCCGGAATTTAGCATCTGCTCACCTTTTTGGATTGTTGCCTGCTTGTTAAAACAACTCAGTATGAAAGTATAATTTGCTCAGTTAATAACTATTCCAGCATCATCCACAGTGTGGACCACAGCCTGGGGTCTTTGTTGTGCTCTGAAACAAAATAAAACAACAAGCTTCAATGGAAGATTTGCCAAAGTATAAATAAGAAATGTCAGTGCTGCCCTATGCTCTTTTCACTGGATGTGTATTTATGTGTATGGGGGTGAAGATAATGATGCTGGTCATATACTTTTGAGCTGCTTTTCTCATCGCTGAAGAGGGGTGATGATGTGTGCTTCATTTCTCTGTGCTTCATCTACCTTGTTCTTGGAGACCAGGATGCTCAACAACAGACATGAAGTCTGGAAGGGTGTACCACAATGACATCTTAATGTCTCCAGTGCTTTTAAAGATGCTTAAAATCACTCACAGAAGTGCAAACCCCTCAAATCCTTCAAGCAGAAAAGAATTTTTCTGACCTTAAATCTGGGAATTGTTTAACTGTCACCAAAGAGAAAGAGACCACCCAAAATTTAACCAGAAAACCTTGCAGAAGCATGTGAAAACAGTATCTTGCTTAATTAGGTGGAGAGATGAAACATTATGTTTGAAATATGAATAATCAGTAGGCTACAGTACCTTCCAAATATGGCCTGTCAGCCCTTTTGGTCATAGCATCCAGCCTTGTCTTCAGGACTGAGAGAGGTTGCTTCTCATTTCTCAGCAGCTACCTGCCCACCTTGGCTGCAGTGCTCAAAGCCAGGTCTGGAGGAGGCCACAGGGTGGGTTACCTGACTGGAGCTTCTCTCCTTATTAGTTTAAGAGAAAGCACAGTCCTTCCCTTAAGATTCCTCATCAGAGTCTGTAGGTGCCAAGATGGTATGTGACAGCCATCACAGCATTGGGACATCTTCACCAGGCTGCCTTCCACTGGCCATGATTGACCAAAAGCCTGTTAACTGCATCTGCCCTAAATATCATTAGGAGAAATGCTGGCAAATCACTTGGCTTCTAAACCAGAGAGGCTTCCTCAATGTGATCCAACCAAATTGTGTTAAAAATCCTTTTCCATCTCTTTAAGTGGTTCAAATTCTACCTCTAATTAAATTCCCATTAATAATGCTCTTGGCTATTCAGTTACTGCAGCAGGGTTAAACATTCCCTAAGCCTCTTGGTTTAATTGACTTTGATAATACAGCTAAAGCAGCTAAAGTATGTTCAACACATCTCTTGCAGAGATGGGGCTTGTTTAAATGTGTATGGCGAGTCGAGCCTTCGGGTACACACCTGATCTTCTAAATGAACCTGATGTTTTGTGGCTCTTAGCAAGCCAGACGATCCTTCTGCTTCATGCTTCTCTCCAGGGCTCAGAATAGTTCTCCATGAAAGCCTGGCTCAAAAAACCCCTGAAATCTGATAAAATGTATAGATTTATTGTGAGTTTCCAGCCAGGTCAGGAGCTGAGTTCTAGACGGGAAGTGGTTTTGGTTTTCTGAAATGTTAGATGATTTGGCCAACACAAACTGAACACAAGCTGTCCCAAGCCTGTTAATAAGTCAGACGATGGTGCTATCAATGCTGGTTTTGAGGCTGATAAAAGACTCTTTTTAATATGCTAATGTTATACTGTTTTTTCTTCTCTAAACTGATTTACTGATGTGAGTCTCTCCAATACAGGCTGAGAACCAAGCCACACAAATATGCTTAATGCTGCTCCACACATTGCTTTTTTTTTCCAATGCAGAGGAGAAATGAGCAGCAGTTCTTTGATGTAAAGAGTAGATTGAGCTGATGATCTCAGCACTGGCAGAACAGATATGCTCCAGGACTCCACAGACTTCCATTAGATTACCTGACTGACTGTGGCTTTCCCCCATATCTGACCTGGAGCAAAAACTCCAGTGGAAGAAGGGCTTTTTGCTTTGAGTGTCTGTGTGTGGCTTCAAGTGCTTCTGCTTTGTTTAATTTCTTGCTCTTCTTTAGGCATTCTTGTGCCCCTGCCTTCAGTTGGAGGAGACAAGCCTCTCCCTCTGCTCTGAATAAAGAAACAATCAAACACACTTCACTGGTCTCCCTATGCCACAGAAGGGGAAACTGAGGTATGAAGGAAAAGGAAATAACTCTTGGAATATCATGGACCCAGTCAGAGGAGGGAGGGAAATTGCAGAATGGGCGAGAGTGATCCTGGTCTGCTCTCAAAACCAGGCTCAGTACCTGAACCTGCAAGAAAAGCCTCTAAAGGTCTGAGCAAATCCCTAGAGACTGCCTGCAGGCAGTCTCCATGAGGCTGGGGGAGATGGAGTTGTGCTCTATGCTGTTGCAGAAGTGGGTTTTTTATTGACACAGGATAGCCCTCCATGAGGCTCCTTCCCTCAGCCTTGGGCTGGTCCCAATGGAACAATGCTGCAAACCCCAGTTATGCGCTGGAAGCGCTCCCATGCACCTTTCACAGCCTTTTAGTCAAACATTTGATAAACCTGTCCACTGATGGGAAATGTTTTCTGGTGAAGGTAACAAGCACAGGTTGCTCCAGCAATCCAGGCCACACCTTTTTGGAAGAGACTCTTTCACGTGGAAACTCAGTAAAACTTCTGATTCTACACATCCTCCTGGATGTTAGACAGCACCAAAGCTGGCAGAAAACACAGTGTCAGTAAAGCCTGGGGAGGATCGGAAACATTTTTCTGGTGCCGGCTTCTATCAGACTTTGAAATGGCATCCGGAAACGTGATGGAGCTGCTAGCAACTTGGCAAAAATAATGCATAATGCAATAGGAACAACAGTGCTCAAACAACAGGCAGATCGAGTCATAGTGTCCACTTTGATGGAAAGGTCTCTCCTACCCCAAGGGTATTCTGATGTCCATGAGTGGGTATAAATAGACCTTGAAGAGGGCAAAGACAGCAACTTGGCAGCAATCCCTGGCATCTCCTTGGGCTGACGTAAACCAATGTGCTGACTGGCCCTGGAGCGGCGGAGGGAATCCCGGGTGATGGATGTGTGGCGTTTCTCCAGGAGCCTGTCACTGCAGGCTGTCCTGCACCACAGGGACTGTGCTGCCCTTCTTGGTTTTCTTGCTGCCTCAGTTCCTGCGGATTTGAATGACACCTATAAACCTTCCAGGATTCAGACCCCAGAGCCTGGCACAGGCGCCATTATAATTGCATAAATCAAACATTGTTAAAAAAAAAAAATAGCCTTTACTTTAGCTTTCCTGCAGACAGTTCATTAAGATAATTACTCACTTGTATCAGCTGAACAAAGTTGCTGCAACTGCTGTCCCTGGTGGTGGGCCCAGAATGACAGAAACTGGCAGTGTGGTCATTCATCAGCCCAAATCCTCTTGCTGCCATTTGCTTTCGGTCTGCGCGCTCATCCATCAGGCCAGACGCCCCCTACGGACTCCAGCTGAGGATCTCTCTCATCCATGTGTCTGCCCACAGGATTTTTGTAACATTTCTGCTAGCAAAAGTTATTTTACAAAGACGTTCCTCCTCTTGGATGATCCCAGAGTCTTTATTACTACACCTTCCCACCCTGGTCCTTTTGCACAGTGTGCCTTGGTCCAGCCCGGTACGTTGGCTTAGAGAAGAAGAGCTGCCCGCACCGTGACCTTCGTCTTTACCAATGATAAGTCTTATACTGCTGTTTCTTTCAAGCAATTTAGTAGGGCTGATAGAACCTTAGGGACTTCTGGGCCAGGCCAGTGTTGTTGGTGGCACTGTACAGGTGGAGAGGTGGAGGCACAGGAAGAGGACGTGAGCTGCCCGAAGTTTTGCAGGTGGTCAGCAGG